CCCACCCCCCACCCAGAAAACAGTTTAATAGTCCTTTTCCCTTTATTCCTGAGAAACTCTACCGCTGATTCTCATGACATACTCTCCTCTCATCACAGCTTCCCTCTTCGGTCAACCTGAAATTATGAGGCTGGGAAAATATGATTAAGTATAGAGTTTATTCCGGTGCTGGGCTTGAGGATAGCTACCCGGGGGACACCGCCTCCAAACGGATGGGGTCAGCGCTCTAGAGTGGAGAAGTTAAGGTTTTCCTTATATAGGCAGAGACAGAGGAATTTTAGCAGGATTACAGGGCTCCTGCTATAAAACACCCATGGGTTTCCAACCCCACCAAAGGTTCAAGATTTCTCTAACCCAGCAGAGGGGCATGGGTGGGCAGAGAACAGGAGCCTACATTTTCCACCAGTACCTTACAGCGATTTGCTTGGTGTCAGATTTCTGCATTCCCAGGGTGATTATTACTCTGTGAAGAGGGGTAGTGATCCTAGGAGGTCTTACCTCTGTCACAGTTTGTCCAAATTATTTACAGAAACAGAAGGCAGAAGTTGCAGCTGCATGCTGTGTTACTCAGGCTGCATAGCCACGTTCCTCTCAAGGCTCAGAATTTAAACTTCCATCAACTTTAACTTTGAATTATTTAATTTCCCATTTCCCCTTCTCATCAAGATCTTTCAAAGAAACCATCATGGATTAACTCAAACTGTTCTAGTTTCTTTGATGTTCAGGAGCTTAGTCTGGCATCATTAGGAAGACTCCTTCTTAGAGTGCCATGTCCTACAGTAAGGGGAATTTGTGTCCAGCTATAAAGCATATTGGGTATAGGCCAAGTATAAAGCAATATGAAGGACGTGACTTTGTGAGATGAGTCAGAATACATGGCTGCATCTTCAATTAATGTGATTCTTCAAGAGACCATTATTTTAGTTTTGCAGTTGTGCACTGACTCTGTTGCAAGCTGATGCCACAGCAGCAGTAAATGCAAAAGCAGGACAAAACACAACAAATGATTATAATTCTTAGAATAAGTAAAAGTCTGCCACCAAGTCTCCCAAGATCCAAACCAGCTGCTAAGCCAGTTGTTTAGAGAGGGTGTTGAATCAGGTAGTTATTTGGGTTTTCACAGCAGCCATTCATTTAGTGAAGTTACATGATTCATCTGGAATATCGACACAACAGTCAGTTTTATGATAGCATAGGTTCCGCCCTGGGCTGCTGTGGGTATGTCTAAAGGCATAGGGTTCTGTAATACAGCCTTTCTCATAAGAGCAACTTTACTATTTAATAATGAGATGCCCACGCAGCTATCATTAAGGACCTTTTTTGTGTGTAATTGTTTAGGGCCTCTACATGCCAAATAACATCCTCAATATCCATGAGTGGCAGAAAGATGGAAGCCTAATGATCATACCAATGGAATACAGAATGAACCCAACAAGCTTGTAAATGAAGATTTGAAACAGTATGAACTATTTGACCTTTTGCCCAGGCATAACCCAAACAACACCATCCTAACCATCCTGGAGATAACCATGGCCATAGATTGGTGTCACAAAGCCAAGGTGTTCCATTCAGAACTAGCCAATAAGAATACAATCACTGCCCATTCAGTGGCATGTCAATCAGTTCTTTGTAATACAACGGTGTGAATACACTGTTCCTTGGTTATCCATCCCATATCTCGAGTGCTACTGGCTCATGTATATTGGGTGTGATTCTTTTGTTTCCAGTGTGAAGGGGCAAGCTGACTAAACTGACCAAAAGAAGGGGTAAGCCAAATAAAACCGTCCTAAATTCGTGTTATACAAGAAGTCCCCAATATACGAATGAGTTCCATTCCTAGAACATGTTTGTAAGTCCAATTTGTTTTCCAACAAAGTTAGCCTAAGTACCCAACTAATGTATTTGATAGGCAATACTGACATCTGATAGAGAGAGAATTCATTTTTTAAAATGCAGGTGTGGCCGGGCTCAGTGCCTCAGTCTGTAATCTCAGCACTTTGGGAGGCCAAGGTGAGTGGATTACCTGAGCCCGCAGGTTCAAGACCAGCCCAGACAACTTGGCGAGCTCTCATCTTTACAATAAATAAAAAATTAGCCGGGCATGGTAGTGTGTGCCTATAGTTCTGGCTACTTGAAAGGCTGAGGGGGAAGGATCGCCGGAGCCCAGCAGGTTGATGCTGGGGTGGCCATGAGTGTGCCACTGCATTCCAGTCTGGGCGACAGAGTGAGCTCCAACTCAAAAAAAAAAAAAATGCAGGTGTGTATTGTTAAAGTTCCTAACTTGAATGTTCGTATGTAGAGGACTTACTGTACTAAAATATATTCTGAAATTTAATTGTCTTTATCTCTCAGTTGGGGCAGCACCAGCATTAAAGTTAATAAATTGGTCTCTCTTACCAAAAAGCTTTTCCCATGTCCTTTGCTTTGTAATGTATTATTAATAAGCCAGTGATGCACCTTGTTCGTTTTTTTTAGTTGGAGTCTCACTCTGTCACCTAGACTGGAGTGCAGTAGCGCACTCCTGGCTCCCACAGCCTCGACCTCCTAGGCTCCAGCAATCCTTCCACCCTAGCCTTCCAAGTAGCAGAACTACAAACACATGCTACCACGCCCAGCTAATTTTTTGATTTATTGTAGAAATGAGGTCTTGCCAAATTGTCAAGGATGTTCTTGAACCCCTGAACTCAGACAGTCCTCTCGCCTCAGCCTCCCAAAGTGCTGGAATTACAGGTTCGAGCCACTGCATCCAGCATGCACCTCATCCTTAGTTGTACCAGTGTTAAGCACCAATGATTCTTCTTGAGAAACATGGATATATTTCTGATATTCTATCCAATCTTGTACATGGAAAGGAGATACCTACCGTGGTAGACCAGAACCACCAGAAAGGCGGCCTAAGGCTGCATGCCCAGTTAGTGTTTTTCTGTATCTATTTGTATAGTCTTGAAGTCATTGCACGAAGAGGTTTTTTTCATGGGCGGCAGCTGGTGATAGTAGCAACATAACTTAGGAACTAGGGACAAAAAGAAAAAAAATAGTGAGAACTTGCACATAGGAAGACTTCAACTTGTTTTGTTTTGTTTTGTTTTTGAGGCAGGATCTCACTTTGTTGCACAGGCTGCAGTGCAGTGGCATAATCACCTCTCACTGTAGCCTGACCTCCTGAGCTCAGGCGATCCTTCTACCTCAGACTCCCCAGTAACTGGGATTATAGGCATGCACCACCACACCTGTCTACTTTTTTTATTTTTGTAGAGACCAGGTCTTGCTATGTTGCCCATACTGGTCTTGAACTCCTGGGCTCAAGTAATCCTCCCACCTTGGCCTCCCAAGATGCTGGGAAAACTGGTGTGAGCCACCTCACCTGACCTCCATCTATCAACAATTTTGTTAAGTGTTAGTTTAGATACAGACCTGGTTCAGCATCTTGGGAAAACTGACTACCTCAGATGTCATCTTTTCCTCATCCATTTTTGTTTTGGAGAATTTTCTTCTAGATCACAAGTCTGAGCTAAAGTTCAAATTGGTGGAGCAGCTTTCTGTAAATGGGTGACATGTAACTAGGAGTCCTTTTAGATTACCACCTGATAAGGTCCCTTCTACCTTGATTGAAGGGAGTCCTTTAAAAGTTTGCATTAAACAAAGTCTCCTGTTTGAAGTCTGCGGTCCTTGAGTTTTTCATCTCCCCGGAGCTCACTGCAGAAAGCTCACTGCAGAAAGAGTCTTTTACTAAATAACAGTTTTTAGCTAGCTGTATTATAAGACTACTTCAATAATACAATAATACAACATATACCTTTTTAGTATCACAGATTCATAATTTCCTACAGACAATTTCATAAGTCTGCCTGTAAAATTGCAAATGGAGACAGCTGGTATTTACCCAAAGAGGTCCATTTTAAGTTAAACAAAACCCATTGAAGAGCTTTCTTGGTTCAAGGAATTTTAAAAGTCTCAGTTAATTTTTCCAAATGAGTTTTGGTTAGTCTGTTTGTGTGTTCCATTAGCCCAGAAGACTGGGAGTGATAGACACAATGGACATGTTGTAGAATGGGCCAGGTTTTCTATACTGACTGCACTATTACTCCAGTAAAATGAATACCTGTGTCACTATGAAGTTCTAGGGGAACTCCTCAAGTCAGAATAACTTTTTCTAAAAGAACTTTACTTACCACTAAGGCTGTTGCTTTTCTGCACAGAAATGCTTCTACCCGATAAGAAAACAATCCATCCCTAGAAAATACTTGTATCCCTGTGATGGATGTAGCTGAATAAAATCTAGTTGCCCTCAAAAGGGCCTTCTGGTAAAGAAAATGACCGTAAGATTCATGTAAGGTATCTCTGGATTATGTTCTGGGCAGATATGGCAGCAATTGTATACCTTATAAGCAACAGTTGGAGAAGGTTTCCAAT